GAAGGAGCGGTGACCGTGTCGGCGGCGGTGGTAGGGGGGTGACGGAGAACGGAAAGATACGGCCGCGTCGGCGATGACGGTGACGCTGCTGACTGCTCAGTACTACTGCCTGCTGCTCAGCACTACTATATATTGCCCGGCAAATGTCTCTGTCCCGCCACCACCTCCGTGACGGAGCCTAATCATCTCTGGTTGGGTCGCGGGCCGTGTGGCTATTTTATTATCGCCACGTATCGGCAGAACTTTCATGTGGAAACGAAGTTTTTGGTTGGCAACAGAAAAAATTCACATTGAAAGAGATTTCGCCAAATAAAATGACATAAATTTGATCATGGTTCTCAAAAATACAGAAAATTTTGTTAAATAAATGTTTCACTGAGCATATATTTTGTAAACACATGATATGATATCATATAATGTAAACAGACTGCGATTTAAAACAGTGCATAATAATATATTATATTGTCATGATTATTTTCATTGCGTCGTCTGCTTTGCCAGTGCACGAACGACGCCGCGAGGAGAGGGCAAATAACGCGAGCGTATAATATTATCGTGTGTACGGGGTGTATATTATAGTGTGCGTAGGTATCTGTTGGAAAACGATAGCGTATTATTTTATATTTAATTTTTTTTTTCGTATTGGAGGGAGTGTGGTCTGATTCTTTGATGAACTCTGGTGGCTTTTCAGTCGTTGTTCACGTTACCGGGGCCGGAGTTATGCTTGGTCGCGCATGACTCACATTTTGTTACACGACGCAATTGGACGACAAAAAAAATAATAATAACAATAATGATAAAAATAAAAAAAAAACAAAATAATATAAAGTAAAAAAAAAAAACACATAATAATACGCAAAAATTGCTGGTCACCGTTGTTGTACTTGTAATGTATAATATAGTTGCTGTTTTTGCTATCGCGACGACGGCGATGGCTCGACATAATTACGTCGGAGAAAAAATGGTTAAATTATAATATTAAAACGATATATATATATACATATATAATAAGACGCTGACACTTGAAACGGGTGAAATACAGAGTAGGTAAACGAGATTGGGAACCAAGGGCTGTGATTTGTGAAAGGGGTAGAAAAGCTTCTTGGCTTCATGTATGTGTTATACTACTATTGTACACGATAGGTACCTAAAATATAAGTGTTCTCAAAGAATGTACCGCGAAAACTTGAAAATTTTTATTTTAACTCATCATAATGGAAAAAAAAATGGTTTTGTTCAATTAGTTATTACTATAATTTTCATGAAGAAGTAGATACGAAATGTTTATCGAAAGTATGCTGGAACTTTTGGTAGTTAATAATAATGGGCCGAGGGGAAAATTAGTTTGGGAACCACTCTTCTACAGATGAGTACTGTTTATTGTAAATTTACGCACTTGTATGATACGGGTCGGCTGGACTCCAGCACTTGATGTTTTCACAGACACCATACAGCAGCAGCACTCAGACGAGGAACGAAAAATCGAAAAAACCTACCGTCATAGATTTTGGGAGCAGAAAAATCCGTTTGCCGATTTCTGACGTCGAACGCATTTAGTATAGAACATATGTATATGCGCTTTACCGCATTCGCGCACTAACTTAATTTAACGCAAGATGCAACCGATAATACAGTCATATCACAATAATATAATATAATCTAAACAAGGTGTACATAATAATATATATAAATATACATTATATACAATGTCAGTGTCACGTACCTACGCCAACGCGTTGGGCCGGACGGATTTTTCAGCGTCCAAAAAATATTGTCATCAGTAATCGCGCACTGCACTTTAATTAGAAATTTGAAGAATAGCTATTTTAATTTTTTATGTTTATAGTGTTAATACTATTATTGTATACCGACCAGAAAACCGTACCTATTGTACGTTTACATTTCTGATGTACTTTTACGCGACTAATCATACAATATTATATCGTAGACATTGCGCGGTTGCAATATAGGCGTACCATATAGCGTTTCGGCCACTGACAAACATTATATTATATTATATCGTACACGTATGTTGTTTTGATAGATACTGCACGGTGATGGCCATCAACTATATATAGGTACTAGGTAGGTTGGTATAGGTAGGTCGCACATTGGATCTCCACCACTACCGTTCCGCTTTTTTCCTACATATGTTCCCGAAACGATATATGTATTATATATAGCCACTTATAAAGGTAAATACATGTATACACCTTTATGTACAGAGAACGCAAGTCGTGTGAAATTAATAATATCACATTTATGCATAATATACGGTTTGCACGTTGTGGTATAAATTGCAATTTTTTTCCGGTAAAAAATTGTATAGTAATGAAAGATAATGTTCGAAATCGAATTCATCAACAAACAACGATTTATTATACAGAGTGGTTCACATCACTGAGAATGCTCACTTCTTTTTTTCTGAAAATTTTGTTGCGTCAAAATCAAAATTCGAACGAGTAGTTTTTGAATTATTTAACTTCGAGTACTAAGATAATAGGTCAATGATAATGGGTTTGAACGATATGGAGGCTATCGTGATTTGAAAATTTTGATAATTAATATTAATCAATTAAAAATAGTCTAAGCCTAATGAATACTAAATTCAATATTACATTTAATAATTAATATTTTTAAGAACTATTATTTATATTACACACATTTTAATAGCTGAGAAAATACTCGTTTAAATTTTGAATTAAGTACATCAAAATGTCGAGAAAAAATATTCTTCTATCCACAAAATGATTTACAGTAGAAAACTTATTTAACAAAACAGAAATTGTTAACACCACAAATCACTTTTTAGGTAGTAAACAACTCTCGATAATTTACAAATATGGTTTTAAAGTATACTAAAAAATTCCTAAAGTCAGAAATTGATTAAATTTATTATTAAAGGAAAAAATTGGTGTGAGTATATTTAATGAATCACTCTGTACATTATATTTAGTTTGTTAAACATTCTAGTTCTACTGCACAAATCGTCCATCGTGTACGTCATCATCATGTATAGATATTATAGATACCCTACACTCCACAACACTCATACATAATATACGTAATATAACTATTTTCTACATTACAATAATAATCACATCATTGGTCGTACCATTGGGTACCTGTAGGCTGTAATAGACCATCGTAAAATATTTATATAGTCTACAATCGAAAAGTAAATGTGTTTGATTTGTCAGTTGGGATTTCTTCGTCCGTGTATTTACATTAAATTATATACAACGATACAAAGCACGCATAACATAATATTATATTATAAACCTATCGTACTTACTCGCACGATTCGTGTCAATATAGACAATGAATAATAAATTATTTTATTCGATCGCTTATTTATCGATGAAGCAAAAATTTATAATTCAAAAACGAGAAATTTCTAATTGATTTCATTTCGGAAACACTTTTGATCGGCAAAGAATGTGCACAAAAAATCAACAATGGATAAATATTCGGAAAAATCCGTTTTGTAAGAAATATGTAAAGGATGTTTTAGAAAAAAAACTAAGTTTAGATAATTTAAATTTAAATTTTGGATGACTCATTAATCACGATAATAGAATTTAGACTTTTTATGATTGAGCGATTGACTATAAAAAGTGCGAGATATAAATGACGAAATCGATAACTATAATAATAATACAGCGATAAAATGATTAATAATTGGATATTATTTATTATTATAGTAAGATAATATAAATAGAATTTCTATTCTATCTATTAAATTAGAAAATACTGGTGACTAGTAATCATTTTCATCTTGACATATTTGTCATTAATTACATAATTAATTTTTTCTAATAACTTCAACTAGATCAAAAAAAAAATAATTACATTTAAAATTCCTTTCCAATTTTATTTTAATAATAATATATATTTGGTTTTGAGTATAGATTGACAAAATTTGTCAATAAGTCTCATAACAAGTTTTGTCAATAGCAACTATTTAGCTATGATTAAAAAAAACTCGTTTAATAAGCACGATTTACTCGTAATTATGATTTTGTGTAGGAATAATTAAAGTTATAAATAAAAAATATGTAGGTATATAAATATTAACATTGATGAACAGGTTACTAATATAAATGGCCACAGTAAAAATACTTAGAAAAATGCAAGTTAAAAAACAAATCTATAAACCTATTCTGCAGTAGTTCAATATCAGGTTAAACAAGTTGTAATAAAATTAGATTCAAACAGTATCAAAATCATCATCTAAATACTTATTAAATTAATTAAAAATAATATAAACTTAAACGTCGAAATGAACATGTTTTTATCTTACTTAACATTATAAAACAATAATGTGTAAATTGCTTATATACTGAAAATAATATTTTTGTATCAAATATCAAATACTAGGAATAAGGCTGCTGAGCATTAAGAGTTTGAAAGTTCAAAGTTCTGTAAATAAAATTTATTGTATAGCCAACAATTTAACTCAACTTAATTGACGATTTTTCAGCACAAAAACGGTACAATGAAACATACATTTTATTATGATGTCTACGAATATTTTCTATGTTTTAACCTTTATATAAATTATAAAATACAATCATTTAAAAATAAAATACAAAACTGACAAAATAAAAACATAGATAATATTTTAAAGTTAATATTCTTCAAGCATAATTTTTTTTTATTAAATTACATCAATACAATTATGATGACGAAAAAATATTTTGTTTATAAAATTTTCTAAAAATATTAGTGAAGAAATATATTGTGACCACTTGTGTAAAATGTATAGCATATGGCATAACTAACAAAAACATTAAGTTAACTAGGTATTTTTAAATCTGTTCATTTTAGTTAAAAAAATGTCGACAATTTATTAATATGGATGAGAAACTGAAAATATCATTGAATAAAGAAATACGCAATGCTGCGATTGTGTGTATTTAAAATGTATTCTTATACCCTACTGATATATTATATTGTATATTTAAAATGTATAATTCAATAAATTTAATTTAGCTTACCTGACGGTCACCATTCCGATAGACTTGTTTTATTAAAGCAGTAAAGTAGCAGTTATTAGATATTATGATTTTATGTTGATAGATGTTGCATTGCTTCTGAAATAATAAAATAAGTTTAAGGTATTTTGGCAGTTACTAGAAAAACGTATTTTAAAAATAAAAATATATAAATAAAACATTATAATATTATATTCATGTATAATACCTAAGTAAATACCTACTATTTCTAATAATATAATATGAAGGACTAAAAATTCATTAATATTTTTTCGTTGATATTTTAGTCATTATTTGCAAAATTAATTTAATTATTTGAAAAATTCATAAACAATACGTAAATTCAGTTATAATTGTAAAAATATTGTCTGGATTATAAAACATTTTTTTACTAAAAAAAAATTAGTTTTGGTCATTAAACGACAAAATAAATAATCATCATAAAGTTCATACGCTACACACTAAAGTGCTACTGAATGAGGGTCGTCACTGCCGACTGTATAAACCGCAGCGATTGTGCTACTACTGACATTTAGGGTGAAATGACGTCATCAAACTATACTTTTAACCATAAAAATAGTAGAATGCGCAAGACAGTATTCATATATTGATCAATCAAAATGTTGCTTTAGTTTCTGTCTAGTTCAAAACACTAACTTATATATGATGTTTGCGTGTTTAGCTCAAAAATAACGTGACAAGACCATTTAACCGTATAATTTATTAATATTTTTATGTTTTGATATAAAATCTGAAGATATATATATAATATATACAAATACATAATACCTACATAAATATATGAAATAGTATTACTGTAGAAGACCTCTGTGAAAATTGATGATATGCTTAGAACTTTGAGCGTGTTTGATTTTCATTGAAATACAAAATATATATTACATAAATAACTACCTTCTATTATATATATATATATGTATGCACTCATAATATGTATTAAAAATTGTTATTACATTTAAAAATAGTTAATAAAGTTGATAGATACTACTTTTATTTATGCCCCATATATATAATTTTTTTATTAGTATTATGAGATATAAATATATGAAAATAATAAAATAGTTATGTCATGATATACACATAAAAATATAATGTACTTGTGTTTGTAATGTACCTATAAAATATAATATCAGGTAATTATCAAGAATTTAAGCTATTGAAATTAATTAATAAATATTAGAATATTGTAAGTTATACAAAGTAACAGTATAGGTCTGTCCATATATTCATATTATATTGAATATTCCAGTGTTGAGTGTTAATCTAATGTTAATTTAAGTTTTTTTATTTTATTAAAACTGTTTTTCTTTTTAATACACCAGATGATAAATTTTAATAAAATATTACAAATTAAAATATTTTATTTATATTGGATTTATCAGTACAAGTATTTATAGAGTTTATAATACAATATTATTATTGTTTTTATTTTTGTATAGATTTAAACTTTAAAATATTTATTAAGTATCATCATAACTACAATGCTAAGTCTTATAATTTTTGATATGATATACTATTTTATACAAGTTAAAATATTTAATACAAAACAAGTTCAAAAATATTTTTAATAAATGGCACATACAGTTTTTACAAAAATGGTGTTACGATATTACATGGGGTACACAGAGTATTAAATTTTGTTTCATTAAATTCTTTTATAGGTATGAATATATGATTATAATTTAATAATTTTATTAATTTGATGTATTTTTGAAAAAAATAAACCATTGTATTACAATATACGTTTATTCAGATAATGCAAATCTCCTTATAGGGTTACTTTCCATTCGAAATGAACAATGACAATATCAAAATATACACTAAACAAATGTCCTGTATATTTTAAATTGTAATGTTATACAAAATATTATATCAGTATCAATTTTCAATTGATTATTACACTGAATCACAGTAATATAACATAGTCCTTAAAAAAATAAATTTTAATAAAACCCATTTGGGGCTGAAAAGAGAATTATATATAATTACCTATCTACTACGCGTATATCTATACTTGACGTATATATCGTTGCCACGTTTAATAAATAGGTACCATATAAATATTAAATATAGCATAATGATATTGAAACAATGTAATATATAATTTTCTGACGTATAATTGAGTATACGGTGTGTTTGACGCGTTGTGATAAACCATAAAAAGCAATAGTAATCGAATAAAATTGTATTATCATTCAAAGGGGGTAAGACTATTTAAGACTACAAAATAGAATCAAAAAAACTTATACTGTACACTCACAAAAAAATTACCGTATTTACTATCCGTTGAAGAAAAAAAAACTAAACCATGAATATTTACTAATGGCAAGACAACAAAATAACAAATCATATAATGTTACATAACATGACCTTATGGTTTGTGGGTCGGCGCAGTGTGCCGTAAGAAAGTGGAAAATAGTTTCGCATCAAATGCCTTGAGGTTTATGTGTTACTCTAGCGTCTCTATCTTACATATAAGACAATATCGAACAATTAGTTAATGTGTTTTGATTGATTATAGCGTTGTACAATATTGTAGACTTAAAGGCGAACTGGCACTGACGACAAGTCGAACAAATTAATTGGTGGCGGGTAAAAACAGGGATTGTCTGTCAAAAGTTATGTCAAGCGAATGAATTACTGCAGCTAGAGAAACGTAGTCTGCGTTTGAGACTTATGTGTATGGACGTATTATATGTACATTGTACACGCATAGATACGAAAAATAGATTTTATTCGAATTGCAGAATACGAGTTGACTAAGCTCGTGTATTAAGTTATACGTATATTTTATTGAATTTACTACGAGTAATTCGACAAGAGGTCTGTAGTTGTACCAGTAGCGGTTCAATTTAAGATTTTTATAAGCTTATAGTTTCTATTTAAAATTAACATAAAAAATACTAGTAGAATTATTCATTAATTAGCGCTTACATTGACAACGCTAGGATGCAAATGTTAGTTAGATTATTATTATATTGTATACAAAGTGTAAAATGTGTATTTATAATGAAGAGAGAAAAAGCCAGAGTTAGATAATAAAAATATATAAATCGGAATTGCAGGTTACTAAGTCGTAAAATATGTTTAATCTTTGTATAACATCCATTTTGATAAAAAAAATAAACTAAAAAAATTTGTTTTCTATATCAAATTACCTAAATTATTAACATGGTTATTCGCCAAGTATACTCTTAATTTTCCTTTAATAATATATATTATGTATTATAATTTTAATTTTTAGAATTTTTGAGTATACTCGAGCAATGTTTTCAAATTCTCGAAATCGAATCATAAGATTGCCCTGTAGCAAAACAAACTTTTTTCAAATGAAAATCATTTTATTTATTGTAAATTACTAAGAGAACGATTTTCCTGAAAATATTGATGTATATAAATCGAATTTCAAATGAGTAGCTTCTTAATTGTTACATGCTAAGCTTTAAATAGGGATCTACGAATATAACAACTATAATTACTTATTGTAATTTAGTTTATGATAACTGGTTTTAAAAATGGCTATGATAATATGAAAATAATATTTATTAATATTAATTTATTGCAATATCATAATTTTATTGGTAAACATTCTCGGATTAAATAAAATAAGAACTAGACTAAATATAATTACATATATTTTGTTTATAATCATTATTAAGGAATATTAACCTCAATACCTTAAAGTTTTATAACTCAGATATAACTCGTTTGAATTTCATTAATTTAGATGCGTTTACTTTTTTTAAATAATGATCATCCGATTAACATTTTACAGTAAATAATAGTGTGGTTCTAAATTTAAAAAAAAAAGAAAAGAAGTTTATACAGCCACATGATACTTAAATCAGGGTTTAAATGGTAAAAAAATCTAAATGCTCGCTTGATAATCAGCGTTAAATAAATAAATTTTTAAGGGTATTAAAATGCTTGGTTTTAACATTATGCATTATTCGTGAATCGCTCTGTATAATATATTAATATAGTACTTAACACATTTTTTTATCATATTATCGATGGCACTAGAAAGGTGTTTCTAAATTCAAACATAGATATAGAAATGGTATTATTATAACTTACGCACATCACAATACATAATAGCTTTATAGTTCATCTAATCGTTTTATTATGACGTGTAGATACGCGCATGTATACACGAACGATTCCAGTCACGTTTACCATAGTGTCCGCGATTAAACACGACTACACGTCACATAAATGTAGGTGTGCGGATGTGTAAACAAATGGCTTTTAGAGCGATAAAAAACACGCATATTGTACACCGAGCCTGCTAACCACGAAATCGCTTTATGAAATGAGCTTACGACAATCAGAATCGGCCAATGCATATCGTTCGTTGATCCACTGCCCTCCGGATGCACTACCGCCGAAATCGACAAAACTACGTGATAAGAAGACCGTGTGACTAGATACCGGATAAATCACACGTGCAAACGGTGCACAGCTTCGGCGCCCCGTCGGAAATACATTAAAATAACTTAGGGGCTTGGAGCTCTCGATGGCCTATATCGTATGGATATCGAAGTAGATATATCATAATTAATGATACGCACATATTATTGCTGAATTACTGAAGGCAAAGTGTATAAGCAGTCTATTGCTGCATTCGTGGTTTTGGAATTTGATGCTTAGTCATAAATCTTATACCCGAAAACGTGCACTTATAAGTTCAAAACCAATTTTTTGAATTTTACGGTATAACTATATTATGTTAAAATCTATGCAGCTTAAATTTAACGGAGTTGAAAAAAAGATAAATCCGTGGGAACACTGTACAGGATTAGCAAATTATAATTATGATTATATATATTCTGTAGATTATTTGCATAGCTGAAAATGTATTCAAACTTTTATATAATGTAGGTTATTGATAAAAAAAACAGGCAAGATGTATAAATAAACCTTATTGGTACTTTTTTTTTAAAAAGACTTCTCAATTTTTTTTTTTTTTTGCAGAGTTCAAGATTCAACACTGCGCGTACCTAATAATATTATAATCGCTTTCCATCCCAGTTTACCCCAAGTCTTGTATCGGTTTGTGGTCTAGCTGATGGTCTATGTGT